GTTTTATGGCTTTGTTGTAAAGCACTTTGAGTACCATTTGGGTATTGTCAAGGGCTATACAAATAAACTTCCTTGCTTGCTTGCTTTCTCCAGACGTAAAATGGGGGGTCACTCACCGTACATTTTGCCCTCGTCCGACAGGATGATCTTCCTCCGGCCGCAGGGCGGGTAGATGGCCAGCGCCTCCTGGAAGCTCTGCTCGATGTCGGGGCTCCAGACCCCCTCGGGGTCCCCGTCCATGGTCTTGTCCCCCCCCGAGTCGCTCAGCCGGTCCATGTCCTCCCCGGGGCTCTCGCTGCCGCTCCAGCTGCTGCGCTCCATCCCGGACCAGGGCTCCGGGCCGCGTGACGGGGAGCGGGGGGCTTCAATTAAGAGCTGGGGGGGGGAGGGGACAATAGGAGCGGGGGTTGCGGAGGGCGGAGGGGGGAGGGGGGAGGGGGGGGCCTCCACCGGGACGATCCGGCTGCAGACAGCAGGAGTCCTGCAGAGAAAAGACACCAAAGGAAACACGGTCAGACACTAAAGCCACTAAAGACTGATTCAATTCAATTCAATTCAATTTTATTTATATAGCGCCACATCACAACAACAGTTGTCTCACAGCGCTTTCCAAACAGAGCAGGTCAGACCCTACTCTGAAGTTAACTACAGAAACCCAGCAATTCCCACCATGAGCAAGCACTAGGCGACACAGGCAAGGAAAAACTTCCTTCCTGATGTTAGCATCCAGGAGTCCACAGAGACCAACTATAGAGCCCCTCATCGGCCCCAGAGGAGATAAAAACTACATAAAAACTACACTTTCAAATGAGTTTGGAAAGTACTCCAATTTAGTACTCCATTTTAGTTTCGTTCTCCTTTTCCTACTGTACTTCTGCTCGCTTTCTTTCTTTCTTTCTTTGTCCAGCGCGTTTTGCTGCTCTGGATTAGCTTTAGATGACAGGACTTGATTTTCTGACACTTTGATTTGTCTTTTGCTCTCTTTTGATTTAAAGCCACCAAAAGAAACACGGTCAGCCACTAAAGTTACTAGTTAGCATCGAGGAGTCCACAGAGCCGAAATATGGAGCCCCTCATCGGCCCCAGAGGAGATAAAACTACATAAAAACTACACTTTCGAATGAGTTTGGAAAGTGCTTT